TTCTTCGACGCTACACTAGTGCGGAAGGGAACGAAGAGATGAAGCTGGCTCAAGTGTCGCGCGGCGCGGCGCCCAGGAGATGGAAAAGGCGGAGGCGATCGGAAAGTCGGGGATCCGTGGTTTTGACTCGTTCGCCCGCAGGGCCCCCGACTCAGGCAGGGCTCGCTCGTAGCCCTTGGAAGAAAAGGTGATCAACGATGACGCTCGCCATGCCTCACTACTGCCACTGAATCGACACACGCAGTCAGAGTGCGTGCGGTGGAAGCGGGTACATGGGACGATGCAGCCCATGCCAGCACGCTGTTGTGGCGATGTTGGCCTGTTCTTTTTCATGTGTGTATTCCGCCCTCCACACGCACTACTCTCTCTGTCTTCCCATTGACTATGCGTTGGACGTGACGTTTTGACCTCTGTCTGCAGTCGTCATACGAGCCCGCGCTGCCGATTCGGCAAAGGAAGCCAGGGAGATTTAACGATACATCGTGGGCATGCCTATGGCTGAACGACGGGGGGCTTGTTGATTGTTTTCGGGAGTGCCACCATCCTTCCGGCCGGTTACTGCTGTTGGGGGGTTTTGGGGCGCCCTCCGGCGACATGTCCTGTCTTGTCTTGCTGTGTCTTGTCTTGCGTTGCATCGTATCCTGCACAGATCTCCATGGGAGCATGCGCCGCATTGATATTGAATGCCTGCGCACCGGGCTCGCCCAGCCGTTCGAGCGCCGCGCCGCAGAACCACCGCATCGTCGCATCCAGCCACACCCAGGCAGGTTTGGGGCCCATGGCTCGGACGTTCCACTGGATTGCCATTGACCAGCGGGCATCAGGTGCTCCGGTGTCCGCCCCAAGAGGCCCGGCCGAATGTCAGGCGTCTTCCTCCCTGGCTTCGGAGCGAGTTGCCAATTGCATCGAGATTGCGGCCCCGCGATTAATAGTGTACGCCCCTCTGACGCAAGTGTCGCCCCCGTTGTTTGCTTGACTCGTGGTGTTGTGAAGAGACAGACCGCGCCCAGCCGGCGGCACGGGGCAAGGGAAGGGGGGCAACCTTTACTGTAGGAGCGGAGAGGCAAGAGGGATGGATGGACGGATGGGTGACCAGGTGGAAAATAGGTGGCGGGCGGCGAAGGAACCAGCTGGCCAGGGTACATTAGCAGCTGCAGTGGCGGGCCCAGCGGTGTCCAGGGCGAGTTCTTTGGCGGCATCTTCCCAGCGCCTGGTAGCGCCCCGTGTGCGCTGGAAAGTTTCCCGGCCAGACGGGGGCCTGTCCCGCCCCAGCCGGGCTTGGGGCTAAGTCGGGACGGGGCGGTCAGGCATGAGAGGTATGGTAAACATGTCTTCAATGGTAAGGACGGCCGAGACTTGGAACTGAGGTGGGACATGGCATGGGCGCCCCGCGATCTGCCTGGGATGAGAGTGGAAAATGGACAGACTACCTACGGTGCCTGCCTGTGTAGGAGGCATGTAATGTCCTTGCAGGATGCTGGGGCTTTCCCCCACCGATGGGGGATGAGGATGATTTAGGTCGGGTAATGCAAGTAGGTAGCATATTCAATGCAAGCAGGACGCCCACATTATCAGACACAGGTGGGCCGGAATAAACAGCATTGGTACCAATCTCCCCCTCTTTGAGACTCCCTCCACACGCCGCCCCCTTAAGGCACCCTGGGCTTTCTTCCCATTGCAGCGTCAAACCCCCAAAGATCCCTTTCCCCA